CTAGCCCACAACCCTGGCATGTGCCCTGACTGGGAATCGAACCTGTGATGTTTTGGTTGGCAGGCCAAGGATCAGTCCATTGAGTCACACCAGCCAGTGCTGATCTTGTCTTTTCAAACCTCCTTAATGCTGGTTCAGAACAATGGCATCCTGCTGGTTTTAATGTGCTCATAGCACTGAGTGTAGAGCTCTACTCACAGGAACTGCTCAGCAGATATGTACTAAATTGAACCCTTCACCTGAATACACTGCCAGTGTCATAAGGTATTTGCCATATAATGAGAGGAAAACACATTTCCACTCACCGCTTTGGATTCTCACGGAAAGCAGAAGGCTGGAGTGGGCAATGGTTTTGAGACCCCATATCTGAGGTGACCCCATATCTGAGGTTACACCTTGGGTACTGTGTCTTGAGAAGAGTAGGCACCCAAATGTATTTGTTTAATGAATAAACACGAAAATGGAGCAAACTGGATTTAAAACATGAATCCACCTTTTCTTCACTCTACTATCTGGGTAAGTTGCTTACCTTTCTAAGGTTTATCCTTTCATTTATGATGGCATGGCAATCCTATTTGGGGGGAGTTTTGTGACTATTAAACCAATCAATGCTTATGAAGCAGTTAGCATAGTATTGAACAGAGAGCACTTAAAACAACTTACTGCCGTTATCATCTAAACTCTTGGCCTATATAAATATTCTCTGAATTAATTCAACATCAATTTACTTGCACAAATGCACTGCTCCTTAAAAATTCTGGCAGGTGGTCTGACCATTTTTTTTTTAACTGAAGAACCTATAATTTAATGAACTTCCACAAATTAGTGGAAAAATTAACTCAAGTTGCACACCTTCTTTTTAAGAATGTGTGAATTCGGCGGGGGTGAGGTGCAAAAGCTGGTGTTTGAAACATAAATTAAAAATAGGTCTTTAACAAATCAAATCTGTGTCTTCTGGCATTTACTAAACTGTAGAAAACGCATCTGCAGTGTCCAGAACCAGTGGCCAGATTGAAAGCTCTGCTACCTACATCTTCTTTCCCTGAGAGACACCCGCACCTTCAAGCACTGTTTTCTAAGCCCAGGTGCTCAGAGTTTTGTTAACCAAATAGCAGACATCCATAAAAAGTTTTTAGAGGAACTAGTCAAATGCAGGGTCTTAGAATTGTAGTAATCTGAAACTGAAAAGGATCTTGGAGATATTCTAGTTCAAACTCCCAATTTTGCAGATGAAAATATGTAGGGCACAGAAAGGTCTTCCTGGTGCCTAGTCTAGTCTCCTTCGGTGCCAGAGGAGAGGCCTGTCACCTTTTGTGATGTTCATGCAGGATTCCCAAATGAGTGACTACAGCCTCAAGAGGAAAATGCCAGAGAGAGTCTTCCTCCTTCACTCAAGGAGGAGGAAGAGGGGATCCATTCTTGGGGAGTCAAGGGTTCATTCACTGGCTGTTTCAGAGGTAAGTAAATCACCCTGCAAGGCACCATGTAACAGCTGACAATGACCTTTCCCTACAGACCTCATGTGAAAAGCTGAAATACCTAAAAACAAGACAAAAGAAAACCTCTGAGTTTCATATTAATCCCAGAGGCTCTGCAGCTGGTTTAACAAGAGGTCTTTCTAGTTTTTCTGACACTAAACTTCATTGACGATGCTTATAGTGCAAATATCACAGCTGTGTTTATGTACATTTGCAAGTAAATTTCATAATCTTAGACAGAAAAAAAGTTCATGCTACCTGTAGAAACTCTGTTTCTACTTTATAAATTCTTTTCTCACCCACTTCTCTTTCTCTTTTCAATGATCCAGCTTTACCATTCCAGACATAAAAGGCAGAGGCAAGTGAGAAGTTTGGAATTAGAGCTTCTGGCTAAGGCAGTTTGTAAAAATTAGTTTTGTGGGCTGTTAAGTGTGACCTGAAAAAAAAGTGCCTAGAAAAACACTGCATTAGTTATCTTTAAACAAGATTCACCACTCAGACACTTGTTCGTGCCTTTAATATGCTAATGTGAATTGTGAATCTCCTGAGAGAGATGTGTAGCTATATCTAGAAACATTTCTAGCACTTTCCTAACTTATTTGATTCCCTCCCCCCAATTCTACTTTAGTAACACTGTACTAGAGCATAAATAACCAAAAAGCAGTTCAACGTGTAAGTTGCAATGTCCTAAACTTCATGAAATGCCATAAGAGAGAAAAGTGAAAGTCATTTATTCCTTGGGTAGATTTTTCTTAACTTCCCAAAGGCTATTCTCTACACAGGTAAAATCAGGGTGTGGCTCTTAATCAAGTGCAAAGCAGGCATGTTGTATGAAAATGAGTGTTTTTCTAAGTGCAGCAAAGTGAAGCTGGAGGGGCCATGGGAAGACTCCTTTCCTGCCCAGTCTGTAAACATTAGAGAAGAACCTGCTGTCATTCCATGTGTAGAGAGAATGGAGAAAGTTGGAGCCGGTGTATCCCCAAGCCCTACCTGCTTCTCCCCCACCTCCGCTGGGCCCTCAGGGTTTCCTCAAAACCTGGGAGGCCTATGGGGTAAAGCTGAAAAGAACACATTCGTAGGTGTATATAATATAACTTCTTCATTTTTAGGTGTATAAGAGACATGGTAAGTTGTTATTTGCTGGAACAATTCACTTTAGTAGAAAGTGGTGCTCAAAGTCTTTGTATTTTGCTGAAAACTTGGAGAAGACTAGCTGAGTGAAGGCTTGGGGCCAGGAAAGAGGTGAAGAGTTTGGTGTAATAACCTAGAGAAGAGTTTGGAATCTCCAAGGCAATGTGGGGGTCAGGGAAGAAAAGAGATGAGAAAAGGAGAAGGAGAAAGAGGTAGAGGACTGGAAGCCAGGGTGAAAAGTAGTGTGGATGTGATCAGGGGAAGACAGTCTAGGCTAGAAGATTCATAATTACATGCAAGTCTAAAATTCAATTTTAAATTATGTGCAATGTTATGGTAATAAAACCTCCCCTGTCTCCTTGGGTCCTTAGCAAAATGTCCAAACCAATGCGGAAACTGAGTGAGAAGAGAGTTGCATGACTCAGGTCATACAGAGTGAGGTGTGGAAAGGCCACGTGGGACAATCAATCTATAAAACAATGTGTGTAACCTAGAGGCAGCCAGGGCTCACACCACAAGGATATAAGAAATCTCACGGAAGGTTCTGTATGTGCATACGGTATACAACGAAGGGCTAGGGACCTTATTTAGATCTTAAGAAACAGGGAGGTTCCAGCTAATGTCTGAATAACAAAAGGAAGTTATGCTTTTGTATGAAGGAAATTTTACACTTCAATATCTTGTGCCTTTGACTACCAAAAAATGCCAATAACTGCCAAAAGAGTTGGTCTGTATTCCCATAGTCGACTGACCACATAAACTTAGTGCCTTACCAGCACTTTAAATTTAGTGACCTTGATCATATCTTCCATGTGGCCATATCAAGGCCAGTGAGAATGTCTGTATCACCCTTGCTACTTAAGAAGAAATTGTGTTCTCAAATCTTTCCACCCATTCATACCACATAGCTTAATAGCTACTGAATCATCCTAATATTGCTGTTTGCATAAATTGCCTTGGTGTTTGCTCACTTCCTCAGTTTAGCTTGCATTACATTGCTCGAACAGTTCTAAGCACCTCTTAGGTGCTCCTTCTCTCCACTCCACCCATCCTCCAAGCTGTGCCAGTTACTGATCTAAAGGCAGACCTGGTTAAGTCACTCTACAAGTAACTGCCATTGCTCACGGGATCACATTCCCTGCAGCCTGGCTAAAAGCTTTCTTGCAAGTGTGTTTCTGCCCCACTACACACCTCACCTCCTGCAATTTCCCACCCCACATGCTGTGCTATAAAGCCACATGGATTATTTTCACCTAAAAATCTTTTCTCCTCCTCTTCTTGTCTTTCCCTACAATGACCTTGAGTTCAAGCAAAACAGTTATGCTTTGCCCCTTTACCATCATTCAAACTACCAATGCTAAAGATAAAAGTTCTGATAAAACTTGTACTTTATCTTCAGACATTATTTGCACTGTTTTGTACTTTTAAGTCAAAAGAATAAATAATACATACAAGTTTTCATATTCGATCACACTCATGGGAAAGAGCCACAGGGATCTTCGGCGATTTCGGGTGTAATTACACTTCATATGCATGGCTGCACTTGACCAATGGGACAGATGCCCTCTCTCTGGAGGCTGATTCATGCTTATGATATAGTGTGAAGGCATACACTTGAGATTTTGTTTTATCATCCATTGTCCAAATGAGCTTAGGCAAAACCTATTACTTCTATGAACCTCAATTTTTATTGGTAAGAGAGTATCTACTACCCAGGGTTGTTATGTAGATCTGATGTAACTATGTAAAGAGACACTGGGAACAGCAGGCAAAGGGCTTTGAAATCTGCAAAGTGCTACACAAGAGGGGAAAGGTGTGCTATGAAAAGAGAACGGGACATGGAATCAAAACACATGGTGCCATGGGTTGATCTTTGTCCTAGAAACGTATATTGAGGCCCTAATTCCACATACTTGTGTGACCTTATTTGGAAATAGGATGCTTGCAGGTGTAATCAAGTGAAGATGAGGGCATTAGAGAAGATGCTAATGCAATATGACTGGGCTCCTGATAAGAAGAGAATATAGGCACCTGGGCAGAACACCAGGTGAAAACAGAGGCAGAGACTGAAGGGATGTACCTACAAGCCAAGGAACGCTAAAGATTGTCAGCTGTCCCCAGGAGGTAGGGGAGAGGCATGGAAAAGATTGTCCCTCAAAGCCTGCAGAAGAATCAAACCTGCTGACACCTTGATTGCAGAATTCCAGCTTCTAGAGCTCACAGACAAAAAAATATCTTTTGTTTCAAGTTACCTAGTTTCTGGTGCTTTGTTATGGTAGCCCCAGGAAACTCATACACATGGGTATGAGTTTCAGCTCCACCACCTACAGGATCTATGAATGTGTGGTACTATATTTAAACTTTCCCCCCTAGTAGTTGAAGGGCACTTACCTTTCCGTGATGGTCTCTCTGAGGCCACTGGCCACCCCTTTGACCACAGTGCTTGCTTTGGGTGTCAGCACCACCTGAGATATAAAAAACGAGCCCTTCTTTCTTCTCTCTGTAATGGACGCCTGCAGAAACTGGATCAGTTTTTCCGGGTCTGTGGTGTTGGCCCAGGGAGCAGGCATCATCTGCCCAGGCCAGAGGAAGGGCACCTCCAGAGCCACGGGACTGTGGTAGAAGACCAGCACTTGGTAGTCCTTCTCCCACAGGTACTTGAGACTGACTTCCTGTGCGAAAATGGCCGGGCACATTTTATTGCCATAGATGTCCTTCAGCATCTGGACCAACTTTTCATGGTGGTATTTCTGCATCCCATAAAAATGATTGAAGTCCAAGAACACTACCTCCTTACGGTGATCTGTGAGGAATGCATTGATCTCCTCTAGGCCTTCATTGACTTTGGCACTGAACAAGCCATGAGCAAAGTAGAGTTCATTGTCGGGGTCTCTGGGCTTGGTGGAGATTCGAAGATCAAAGTAACGGATCCCAGCTCCTAGCTGACCTGTAAAGTTCATCGTTTGAGTGGCTAACCATTTCCGCATCAGCTTTTTGGCCACAGTTCCAAAAACAGAGACAAAATTCTGGACAGTTTCTGGCTGTTCAGGGCCCACTGGAGAGGCTTCATCAATGTAGAAACTGAAGGAGTCATGAGATCCTGGAAGAATAACAAGGCACAATGTGGTTACATTTCAGTCCTTCGTCCTCCCCAACTTCCCTCTTGCCATGTCTGTATCTCTCTCTGAAATGAGCCAAAGGAAATACTAGGGTGTTGTGGACCACTCTGCCTGGTTTTAGGAATTGTATCTCCACCCCTTGTGGCTAAGGGTGAGTGAGAAATGACCTCTGGAATGCGAGCTGCAGGAGACAAGGCTTGTCTCTGGTAGCAAATGCTGCCTCAGTTTCCTCCCTGCCCCCAAAGCATGGTTGGAAGTCTTTGATGAGTAAGACCCCTCAGAAGAGGGGTGACGTAGGCCAGACACAACCACTTGGGAGGCCATCATGGAAGGACTTGGGGGGCTGTGACAAAGAGGGAGCAATGGATTCTCAGCCCCTGGCTTTGACAAAGTCCAAGTCCCCATGTCCTCTGGGAAAAGCACTTCCTGGCTCTAGTCCACTTAAGCCTGAATACCTGTTGGGGAGGGGTGCAGCTTCTTGCCTTGCTAGAGTGTGTCCAGGGGGAAAATCTGGCATCACAAAGACTTCCTGATAAACCTGTGAAACCTTCTCTGCTAAGAGTGCTTTCATTCATATGTTAAGGGTTCAAGTAGGAAACTAAAATTCTCTGCCTGACAGACTCTGACTCAGACTAAGCCCTCAGATTTATTTGAAATGTTATCTACTATTTGATCCTTGCTACCCTGTATTCCTGTGTATTACAACCCAATAAAAGCTCTTGGAGGAAGGGGCTCAATGCCTTTTTCTCCTGAGAAACTGGCCACTGCTCTAGGCCTTTTTCTTCTGGGAAACTGGTCACTTCTCCTCCCCAAGTAGATCACATCATGTCTCAGTCATGATTACTCTCATCCGTGGCGGCTGGGGGGACTTGTGAGGAGAGTCGCCCCCACACTAGGCAATATTTACCAAGTTCATTCTCATGTCTTAAGAAGGTTCTTTTTATAGCCTGGCATAGAGTAAATCAGTTGTGAAGTTGTAAAAATTTCTTCTGATAATGCTTTAAAGATCAAATGATCATCTTCTACTTATATAGACAACGAATTTAATGGATTTATTTGGATTGGTTTTTCATATACTAACCATTCAAAAATAATACCTAAAGGGACTCACCAGTTCCCAAATACTTTATCTATAACATTGCCCCTTTTCTTTCTTTTAGGTTGATTTGAAGCTGAAAGGTTTGTTTTGATAAATAAAGAAGCCCTTTTCACAACAGATGATCATTGTAAGAATTGCTAACTCATACACTTTGGAAAATACAAAAGGTCACAGGGTAGAAGGAAGGAGAAAAGGAAAGAGGACAGTCCGATGTTGAGATATCTGACATTATTTCTGACCTTGCATTTGGGAAATTGTCAACTTAGACAAGGCGGCAAGTGAACACATGTGAGAGCATTAAAAAAATTAACTAACAGGCTATTTTCTTCACAGATAGTTCCTCTCACCAGTAAAATCCCTTTTAGGAGTTGGCTTCCAAATTTAAAAGATTTTCTTTTTAATAGAACAAGAACAACCTATTTATTTATATTTGGCATTTACAAATATTAAAACTCCAGAAATGGCCCTGGCTGGTGTACAGCACCAGTCTGCAAACCAAAGGGTCGCCAGTTCAATTTCCAGTCAGGGCACATGCCTGGGTTGCAGACCAGATCCCCAGTTTGGGTTGAATGAGAGGCAACCACACATTAATGCTTCTCTTCCTCTCTTTCTCCCTCCTTTCCCCTCTGTCTAAAATTAATTTGCAAAACTCTTAAAAAATAAAAAAGTCAAGAAATATAGCAATGAACATGTGTATGACTTACCTGTAAGTACAGAGTGCCATTTAAAATATTATTGGACCAGATAGAAAAATTATTTCAAATTTAATTATAGTTGTTAAAGTCTCCTTCAATCCTTGGGCATGACTAACTATATAGGTGAAATTAAATGAACAGACCCTGGACTTTTCAACACATTAGAAAGGGCAGACATCATCGTTCTCCATCTGTTCCTCGGGCTTCCTCTCACCTTGCTGCCCCATTCCTGATCCACATTCCTCAGTGTGCACCTTTTCTGAAGTTCCTCTCCTCCCACTCCCACACATGCATGCACACACATGCACACACACGCATGCAGACTTCCAGCTTGCTACTCTCTTGGCTTTGACAAAGCAAAGTGCCATGTTGGAGAGGCCCAGGAGACAAAGACCTGGGAATGGCCTCCAGCCAGCAATGAGCCAGGACCTGAGACCTTCAGTTCAAAAAAAAACCTCAAAAATCTGAGTCTTGTCAACAGCCGCTGAGTTAGCTGGAAGCGCGTCCTGCCCTGGTGGGGTCTTGTTTGCAGCCTTTGCAAAAACCCAGAGGCAGAGGATTCCTGACCCATAGAAACTGCATACTGTTTTAAGTGACTAAGTTTTAGGGTGATTTGTTAACAGCAATAGATAACTGATACAGACTATAACAACTCTCAGGAATTTATGAGAGGATTTGAGATCTACAGATCCAACTGCCTAAGATAGGAACTTGGAATTTTAATAAAGAGAAATTAATTGAACTCAAAATGGTCATGTGCATCTTTATGTGCTTGAAGACTAGGTATCAAGTCAGAAGAAGAATGAAGTTTGTTTAAAAAGTCTTCTTGAACACACAAATAGTTATTCCATTCTGCACACTGTTAGGGATGGCCTGAGATCTCATCTGGTGTCATCAGCAAGCATGCAGCACCCATTTTATTAACACCACAGTGTGAGGAATATGCACGATAGTCTCTTTTTTCTGGTTCCTCGTAGCACTGGACTGAGCTTCTCATCCTGTGATTTTGTGTGGTAGAAAGAACTCTAGGATAAGCCCCAAGTTCCACCTTCTGGGTAGAGATGCCCTGAATAACCCCTTACCCTTGAGTGTGGTACATATGATGATATATCATTCTTATAACTCTGTTCCAGTACATGAAAAAGAGATTTTTTTCCAGATGTAATTAAGGTCCCTAAGCAGCTGGTTTTGAGTTAACCAAAGAGAGATTATGCTGGGTGGGACAGACCTAAGCAGGTAAACCAATAAAACAGAAACAAAAAATAGCAATAGATGTTCTGTTGGTACTGAAGAAGCAAAATGCAATGTTGTAGAGAGGGCCACGAAGCAGACAAAGGGATTGACAGCCAACCAAAGTAGTATGGAAGTGGTCCTTTAAGCTGAAAATATCTGAACAGTCAGCTGCCACAGAAATGAACATCTCAACTTAAGCTGAACCTCTGAAAATAAAGCTGCCATCAACGTCTCTCCCAGGGTGCTTCTTGTTTGGGACAAGGCTGACCCTTAACACCAGAAAGTGTGAGTTCAACTGCTCCTTACAATAAAAAAGCCCAATAGAACCTCCCATATTTCCCCATTAAAGCCTTACCCACCTCCCCCTTTTGTTAAATTCAGTAGCTATGCCTTTTCTTCTGGTTATTCAGCAAGCTACTATCTCTGAATGCTCCCACATGTACAGTGTGCATGAATAAGTAAATGCTGCCTTCTCTCCTGCCGTATCTACTGTCAATTAGTTTGCAGACCACCAAATCAGTGTTACTATTGGAAGAGGAAAAGTTTTCCTCCCAACACAAGAAATAATGCACAGCTTCTACTAGTGGTGAGTCATGCTTCTAAACCCAAGGAATTCCATTCCATGAACAATCAGCAAGATAGCAAGAGGGGCCTCAGCCTCAAATGATAATATAGCTTTGGCCAACCAACACTGTGATTTCAATCTAGTGCAGTCTAGCCTGCAGATAAGAGGAAATTAGGCAAGGCTTTGCATTGAAAACAGCATTAAAGGGGGTGCTGGGTGACCAGGCTCAAATTCAAGCTCAATCCGTTAACTCTGGAGGCTCATCAGATTGTTAACCATTCTGACTTTCAGTTTTCAAAAGTTTTTAAATTAAAATACTCTCCACACTTATATCACAGGATTCTTACAAGGAACATATGAAACCATGTTCAAGGAAGTTCCTTAAAAGGGATATATATACAAATTAAATTACTGTTATTTTGTTGTGGTGACGTAACTAGTCACAAAACACTCATTCACTTGTTTTGGAAAACATGACCTAGACAAATCTACATTGGGGTGGCTGTACCAGCTCACATAACAGGGAGGACAGGAGGAATAATGATTTAAATTGCAGAGTTTAGGTTTGTTAATGTTTCTTGAAAACGAGATTTGTTTCCGTCATTTCTCTATGACTTAGCAAATGATGAACAATCAAAATTACCCCATTTCGTATTGTTTGGAACAACAACTAAGCAATGCTCCCATCTTGGGAAAATTGACGGGTGATGTAGACCAAGTGCTAACCCTCTTCCTTTCAGCATCTCTCCAGTATTGTCTACAAAATCACTTCAGGAGGAACTTCTGGTTGGTTTCTCAGTTTGGCTATAGTTCCATTTCAAGTTCTGCAAAATTATGGGTTTAATACACATCAGTGAAAATGTATCAAGTCAATTTCATCTGTGAACCTTCAGACGAAAAGGCCCAGTACGCTAAGGTTTGACGTGCCCGTGACAGTGCAGTTCCAACATGTGTATCCTGACCTGAGAATGCAGGCTGACTCCATCGGAACAAGAACTGCCCTTCCCTGCCTCTGCTGAGCACTTAGCTTGCTTGTGTGTGGCACCCCATGCCTCCCTCTCCTCACCTCTTCTGTTACTGTGATATGACCCAGTGCTGAGGTTTTTAAGATTCCTGCTTCCCGGTAACAGGTTCCCTGCATATTTATTACCTTGGTACCTTTTGTGATAATCAAGCCAACACTACAGGAGTGGGGGGGCATGGGCACCCTCCGCCATGAACCAAAAGAAGACTGAAAGGGTAGGGTTCTTTTTTTTAAAGATTTTATTTATTTATCTTTAGAGGGGAAGGGAAGGAGAGAGGGAGAGAAATATCAATGTATGGTTGCCTCTCGTGTGTCCCTGCTGGGAACTGGCCTGCAACCCAGGCATGTGCCCTGACTGGGAATCA